GGGGTGTGTTCCCTTCATTATTCTGTAAGGATTGCAGATTCTGCAACTATCAACAAACTTCCAATCTATCCGATAAAATGGATAACCTAGGAAGTCTGGTTCCATATATGGTTTTTGCTTGCGGTGGTGATTCTTCGAATTTCCTTCCTTCCTTTCTTTCTTTCTTTCTTTCTTTCTTTATTCTGGTACATGGTAATTTGTTACATAAGATATGGAGTACCATCTTGGTACCTTTTTAATAAACTTTTACCTTATCAAAAAAAAAAAAAAAGATACGGAGAAGCGAAAATATAAGAAATTACTAGTGGCACCTCAATACAGTTTGTTGGCTGCAGAAAAGTGTTATTCCCCTCAAATAAATCTCTTTCTCTTGTTTACTTTTTGACATAAAAGCTTGACTAAAAACTACAGCAGATTTGTTGTTCTTTGTATTTCCCATGACCTATTTTATATGCTATTGATGTTGTCCCAACTATAGTGGTTCTGCCCTTCCCTGGACCTGTGCATAGCCAGAGCGAAGTGCACCGAGCTACCCTTTTAGTGACTTATCATGTCTATGTTAAGATCAACAGTTTTTTTATGTCTACCTCCACAATTTCCAATAGTACTACTTGTCTATGACACTGTTCGTACCAGCCTAACTATTTTATGCTTTGCATTTATTTGAGCAAAAGATATCAGGATGGGGAAGAGCTCAGAGATCAGTCTTTATTTTCTCTTTCCTTTCACCTATGTTGCTCAAACTCTCCGAAAATGTCACCGGCTGTGTGTCGTATCCTCCAAAAGTAGTGCATTTTTTGAGGATCCAACACGGTGCAACAACATTTTGGAGAGTCCGCGCAAAATAGCCTTTCACAACAAATGGGAGTTTTTTTGCAAGAACAAACATTCAATTGGATAATCACTGTAGACTCGGGAATTTTGCATATTCTTTAATTTGGAGTTGGCAAATAGAAATTTTTGTTTGTCAGGATGCAGTCAGTAGAGACTTTTCCCTCACTTTTTCTGGGTGAATACTTTCTTTGGTTCCAATCTGTCATTCCTATCTTCTCCTCCAGACAGTAATGGGGATCAGAAGTTTTTTATGCAAGAAGGTAATTTGCTCCTTGTAGCCTAGGTATACAAGTCCTGCAGAAAGAGCCAGCAGTTAACACTATGCATTGTGAGGTTTCTCAGGTAAGTTTTAGGAATAGAGGAAGGAGTTGAAAGTGAAACATTGATAACCTTTTACTTGAAATTGTGCTGTTGCACCTAGAAGAGAACTAATTGTGCCTTTCATCTATTGTAATCCACTGTATTGGCAGCAACAGGTGTCATCACCACTTTTTACTTTGCAAATCCATAGTTGAGCTTCCCCNAGACATGGAGGTTATAGGTTTGGAATTTGAAGCACATAGAGCCACAACTGGGCACATTTAACTCTTCCTACTACACAATGAGGGATTGTGGTCACCTTCTGGTTGGGTCTTGATTCATCCACCCCATTTTGCTCCCTTGTATTAAGTTGGTAGAAAGAAGTTAAAGTAGCTCATTGTTATCTTGTTTAACTATTAGCTCTTTGTTATGGTCTTGTTTAAGTCAATATCTCATTAGGGGGCATCTTGGGAATATCTTTGTTTTGTATTTGGTGAATGGAGAATGTTATTGGATAATGTTAACATTATGCTTCTCCAGGACGCACTCATGGGATATCATGAGAAGTCCACAGTAGATATTGCAATATATTGGTATCTTAATTTGCTTGACTACTCAGGAATAGATTACCCCTCTTACTGATAGGACAAGGAGCCATATTTCCTTTTTGGTTTGTTTTCCAAAATTTTCATAGGTTTTAAGGTAGAACTATGTTGTTATACGTCGGATAAAGCTGAAAGATTCATGTTCCTTCCATTTAATGTGGTGGTGTGTTGAGCTCTCTTTATGTATATCTTGAAATACTTAGCCTTATGCTTGTTGATGATTGTGTTACGCATTGCTAGTGTAGTTTCGTAGGACCCCATGGCTCAGTCAAAATTGTGCTTGAGTTGTTTCTACTTGTTGGGTACTCAGATAATTTTTTCCTTCTTGCTGCAGTTCTATTAGCATTCCATATTTGAGTGATGAGCCTTTGTTCCTGCAAAAGAAGAAAGTGTGTAGGGTTGAAAAGATCAAGGAACAATTGCCTATCAGCTGTTTTGGCAAGGTAGGTGATTTTTCGAGTCATATGAAGCTGAAGCTGATTGCACAAGAATTGTCGCCATAATACCTTAACCTCTGTCCTCCCCGTTTAGGTTCCATTGGTGGTGGCTAAATGCTGTTGTAATATAAGATGAATCCTGTGGACTGCAGATAATGTTGTTCCAATCTTGCATCCACAGAAATGAACCATTTCAGGTCTATTTGACCTGCTAAATCTTGTATAGTGTGCAAATGCTCATGATTTTACTTGTTAGTCTAAGCTTCCGCTTCTTTTTCTTGTCCAGGCTTCTCTCACCATTCTTTTGTCGGTTGCAGTAACACTTCATTTGGTATGATGGATAAACGAAAATAATCTTGGGATAAAAATTTTGTACTGCCTTATCCCTTATTTGGTTACTAATTCTGGGATAAGTTAAAGTTATCCCATGATTAAAAATAACACCGGGATAACTTATACATTCTAGAGGGTAGAATAGTATCCTCAAAATAAAATAGTAAAATTAACAATCCAGGATTAATATAACATACCAAACAGTCAATAAGAACTAATTCTAGGATAACTATTTCCAGTATAATTAATTCCAACATAACTTGTTTTCAAACCAAACAACCCTGTAATTAATTTTGTGAGGAGGGGGGCAGGTGGATTGGAGGGTTGGTTCTCTTTAATGTATAGGGGCAGCATGGAATAGATCCATCTTACTTTTGCACTAGTCCAATTATTGGCTCTCTGGTCCTGTTTTTCGCTTGGGCATTTGTAGTTTTGATTAATTAGAAGTGATTGAAATGAAAACATTATGAGCAGGATTTTCTCAATCGGCCTTTGACCCTTCAATACGCGGCATCAAAGTAGCAACTACTTGTATCTGGCTACATTATTTGACGATGAATATATCATATCTTGCTTTGGATGTTATGGTCGAGAAGACCAGCTATGATAAAGGAAGTAATAATATGAACTCACTATCGTAGACGAGCTAAGACTAGAAATGCAAATAACTTTCTGATTACGAGCGCATTTTTTTCCCTTCCTAATTACTAGTATATTAATAACTTTTTCCTTCTTGTTTTTCGCTTTTCCTAAAGTAAAACTTTTACATATAAACGCAAGTTTGTATGCCGTTTTTACTATTCAATAGGAGTAATTACTAGTGCCCTTTCTATTTTTTAAGGGCAGGAGTTTCAACCATTGCCAAGAAAAAAAGAAAGAAAAACAAATCATTAAACCAACTGTAGTCAGCTTGGTGAGATTGTCAATGGCCAATTTATGAGATCAAATTTAAGGAATAAGTGAATGCCGATCAATTTTCTAGAGTAATTAATTAAAAACTAATAACTGGAGTAAATCTGAGTAGTCTAGCATTCAGAAAGACTGAGTGAGAAGAGGTAACAAACAATTCATCAGCTTATATCCAATCGTTATTTATAGGGGTGCCAATGAATCTTTAAAAAACCGTCTAAACCGACCGAACTGAATCGTACCGAACCGATTATTAGGTTTGTTTTAATAAAATCGTAGGTTTTTATATAAATTATAACCATACCGAATAATAGGGTAGGTTTTTAATTTTATAAAAATAAACGAAAAAATACCGAACCATATCAAATAACTTTTTATATATAAAAATATATTTTATATACTAAGTTTAAAACTAACAAAACATTAAGTTCTTTTTTTGGGTCTTGAAATTATAAAAATGGCTACAAGTGACCAAATAATTAATATCCAAAGTCTCAACTTTCAAACCTATTCTACTACTCATATCGAAACTAAATTAGTTCTAACATCTTGAGTAACAAGCACTAGGTATTCCAGCTATCTTCAGTAGCAAGCCACAAAGTATTGGATATCTTTCCTCCCGTGTGATTTTGATTTCTTTTGTTGGATACTAATCTTTTAATAAGCTCTATTCTTGAATCCCAACTTGATTAGTATCTTTCCACCCATATGACTTATATTTCTCTTATCATTGCTTAATTTATTTTACGCTACCATACAACAATGTGATGAATCTATCTTTCATGTTCCTTTGATCATCACTTTTAAAATATTAAAAATGTCTAGAGAGTTTTGTCAAAGTTCTATGCAAGTAAACATTATCACATTCTAACTTCGATTAGCGACTTTTGCGTGATATTTTTTTATAAAAAGTCGAAAAATTAACCAAACTGTAACGATATCGAAGAGAAACCAAGATAATTGGGACAGTTTCAAAAATTTTAATTTTTGTTATACAAAATGGAATAACCGAAAATTTGGTACAACAACATATCCAGTATAATCCCACATTGTGGGGTTTGGGGAGGATAAAGTATACACAAACCTTACCTTTACCTTATGGAGGTAGAGATATTATTTCCGAAAGACCCTCGCCTTAAGAAAACAAGATAAGAACACGAGAACAGTAATAAGAAGGTCATGTCGGAAATACTAAAGGTAAGAACATTAATAACAAAAAATAAAGCATTGATATAACCAAACAAGGGGAACAACATATATTACTAGACACCACGAATAAGTAAACACTAAAATGATAATACTAGTATTGGTATGTAAAACAAAAAACAAACAACCAAAACAAACATAACAGATACAGAGTCCGGAACTCGACGACCTACTAACCCTCAACCCTAATCTTCGACCTCCATAATTTTCTATCCAGGGTCATGTCCTCGGTAAGTTAGAGGTATACCATGTCCTGTCTAATCACTTTTTCCCAATACTTCTTCGGCCTACCTCTTCCTTTCTTATACCCACAATAGCCAACCTCTCACATCTTCTGACCGAAGTATTTGTGTGTCTCCTCTTTACATGCCCATACCACCTTAACCTCGCTTCCCTCATCTTTTCGTCCACAGAAACCACTCACACTTTATCCCGAATAACTTCGTTCCTAATCATATCTTTCCTACTATGTCCACTCATCCACCTTAGCATTCTCATCTCCGATACTTTCATCTTCTAAGCATGATAACTCTTAACTGACCAACATTCCGCCCCATACAACATAGCTGGTCTAACAACCACTCAATAGAACTTACCCCTTAAGTTTTGGTGGCACATTCTTATATGATTTCATCTACCCACTCCAATACGATGTGTGACGTCATCCTCAATCTCAACATTCGCTTGGATTATTGACTCAAGATCTTTGAAACTCTCTCTTTTAGGGTTGACTTGCTTATCAATCTTCACTTCCAAATTTACCTACGGCACAAATTTTATAAAGTAATGGTCGAATCGAACCATTGACGCTCCTAATTATTTAGATCATTATTCCAACCCCCGCTTATTTTCGTATATTACACCAACTTCCCTACATGTTTCCATCAAATCAAATCCGACGCCGCACAATTTTCAATTCAGGTTTGCAGCAAGCTCGAACTTCAGCAAACAACGACCAAGCTCCTCTATGGCCTCTCTCTTCCAGAAATTTCAAGAGGTACCCTCATCCCCTCCTCCCCCCCCCCCCCCCCGCGTCTGTCGCTCAACTTAGACTTCTTTCCTTCATTTGATGTGCTGTTCAAATGTGTAAACTTGGAACTGGATATGTAATTTTATTGGATACTAAAAGGTTCATATGTAAGAGTTTTAAATTTTTAATCTATGTTGGGTTTTTGGGTTCTTCCTCCCTCCCAAAAAGACTTTTTTTAATTTGGAGAGTTAAAAAAGCATTTTTTGACTAAGATTTTTACAAATGCTTTTAACTATTGAAGATTGTGATTTATAATGCTTTTCCTAGTTCAACGATTCTAAAATATGGTATGTACTTATTGTAATGAATATTAATGCAATTCATATCTTGATAAAATTCTGGAACAAATTTTAGGCTGTTAAAGTTCTTGCAAAAAGCCCCACATTTGCTAAAGATCCAAGGCATCTTCAGTTTGAAGCTGATATAAACCGTCTCTTCCTTTACTCTAGGTAAGAATCATTTTACATACTAAAAAAAAAGGTAATGCTGCTATATAGGATGCTTTTTATTTTTAAGGATTGAAGTTATCCATTGCGAAGATTTTCTTACACTATAAGTGTATTTTGACCTCTTAGAGAAGATTGCTTCCCATCTTTTTAAACGTACCAATTAGTGTTTGTAAAAGAGTTACTTGAAGTTGCCTTTTAAGTGACCTGATGGTGTAAATCTTTTTTACGCTATGCATGTGCATCAAACTTATACTCTTCGTGTAAACAGACTGGTGACAAATACAACTTGGTGTATTATCTATAATTCGGTCAATAAACTAAGGTAGGCTAATTTAGGTTTTATCTGCACTCTTTGAAATTTACTGCAAAAACATAGCTTTAGCATTGATGTTTGTACCAAGAATTGGCAGATCTAAGCTGTTCAATTGGCTGTAATTATTTGCACTTTTCCTTGTAAAACCATTTTCTATGAGTAATTGACCGACCAGGTTGCGCTCTTTCATGTCTATCGAAAACAACCTCTCTACCTGCACAAGGTAGGGGTAAGGCTCCATACTCACTGCCCTCCTCAGACCCCACCTGGGGGATTACACTGGGTTTGTTGTTGTTGTTGTCGCTTAGCTCTTTCATGTAAATACAATTCTACAGGCTATTCAGTTTTTTATTTGTAATTTAAATATGCACTTTATGAGATTGAAATGGATTTGTTTTAACATGTGCAAAGGAAAGGTTTTGTTAGGATATTTTATATTTTTTTCTGGTCATTTCATCTTTTGTTTGAATGACGGAAGTTAAAATTTTTCTGTTGAGTAAGGTTTTGTGTCCGTGCTATCAAACTTGTGAGGAGCTGGTTGGGTATTTTGATGAATGTTTTGCTGCTTTCAGTTCTTAGGAGCTAGGACATTACTTGAGTCATCAACCAGCAATCCATGTTCTACATTTTCCTTTTTGTTTCTTTTTTAGATAACTGTATTCAACACTAGTTGCAATATTGACTGGTCCAAAGAAAAGGGGGGGGAGGGGTTGCGGAAATTGCATTGTATTATTGTCATCTAAGGCTCTTGTCTATCTCGGATCAGTTGAAACTGTAAGCTGTAACTAACTTCTTTTATGGCTGAATCGCTTATGAAACATATGATAGTAAAAATTGCATACATCTTTTCTGCAAGTTTTATCCTTGCCATGATAAACTTCACTTTTCAGTTACAATCGTTTGGGAAAGGATGCCATTGAAGCTGATGCTGAGGAGATTATTGACATGGCTGGCAAGGCCTCCTTAGCTGATCAACACAAGCAGGTCCAAGATAATGTGCATAACCAGATTACAAACTTTTGCAATTATATGGATCACATATTACTCCCTGATCTTAATGTCAAGGACAAACAGGACACATCATCTTCCGAAAATAGTCCTTCTCCTCGTCGCAGTGGGCTAGGCCTTGCTATTGGTAGGACTGCTCCATTAAAGGACCACATCGGTAAGAATCTTGAGCTGAAGTTTCCGCAGCACCTTTTATATTTGTCGCTTTTCTAAAATTTGTTTAGAATTTTCATTAGTTCCCAACTTTAGCAACGTGTTGGCAACCCTTTATGTCCTGCTTTTGTTATGTTATGTTGTATTATGAAGGTGAATTCTAACTCCTCGCCATATTGTTGGTTGTTAACTATTTTGCTTACCAAAAATAGAATTGAAACAAATATTATGTTAATGGTGTTTCCTAGGACTTTTGGAATTCTTTAACTAAAAACTTTTGTCTTAACATTTTGGTAGGGACATAAGAGTCCATGTCCTGGAAAATTGGACCCATAGGTAATTGTAGGACGGTTCTCATGGATTGCGTTCAATATAAGCCCTTGGAAAGTGGGGTATAACATAGAATTATAGTTGTAGAAACTTTTTTGTGGTCTCACATAGATTATATTTAAGCTTTTTGGTCAACTTGGATAAAGATTTTCTTTCTCACTGCTAGTTTTGATGACTTTGATTAGCTGCATTGCCCCTGGATTTTGATTACTGATATGTTTTCAGCACAGCTATACCTGAAACCAAGCCATTAACGCGCATAGAGGTTTCACAGAGTTTAAAGAATCTTATGGGCTACACTCTGGAGGTCAAACCGTCGCGAATTCCACATGAGGATGCTGGGCAAGGTTTATTCTTACATGGTGAAGCTGACGTTGGTGCTGTGCTAGCACTCTATCCTGGTGTAATCTACTCCCCCGCATATTACCGCTATATTCCTGGATATCCAAGAGTTGATGCCCAAAATTCGTATTTGATCACACGGTATGATGGAACTGTGATAAATGCGCAGCCCTGGGGTGCTGGTGGTGAATCTCGGGAAATATGGAATGGTTCGTCCCTTCCTGAACCTAAGTACAACATGCAAGTTGATGAAAAGGGTTCTGAGCGAATTTGGAGAATGCTCAGTAAACCATTGGATGGAACACGTCTAGGTGGCAACCATGAAGTTTTGGAAAGGAGAAACCCTCTAGCCTTTGCTCACTTTGCCAACCACCCAGCCAAGGACATGGTCCCCAATGTTATGATATGCCCTTATGACTTTCCCCTCCCGGAGAAACACATGAGACCCTATATACCAAATATTTCGTTCGGAAATGGTGAAGAAGCAAGCATGAAAAGATTTGGCTCCTTTTGGTTCAAGTGGAAGTCCGGCAAGAATGGATCAGATGTCCCTGTTCTAAAGACGCTTGTTCTTGTGGCAACTAGAGCAATTTGTAATGAAGAGATTCTCCTGAACTACAGATTGAGCAACTCAAAGCGAAGACCGTCATGGTACACTCCAGTAGATGAGGAAGAAGATCGAAGGAGGTGGAGCTAAGATGATAATGATGAATGGTGCGTGTTGAAGTGTACCAACCATGAAAGCAAATGCTTTTGTATACACGAAGCCGAGAAGGCAGTGAGGATATTTATTTTGGTGACTACCATCTGGTTCCCTTTTAGTTTAGTCTTTTTGAAAGGTTTGCTTGTATAACCTGTTCAGAAAATATTCTACTGAGTTGGGCAACATAGTTATTGTGCTTTGCACTAACGGTGAATACTGATTTTTACATGAGTTACAGAATAAACGTAAAAGGAATCCATCATTCTGATTGCTTTTGAAAGTTAAGCGCCTTCATTTTCTTGTTAAATGTTGGATAATTGTTCCTGCTTCTGTGATTATATATATTTCTTAATGATTGGTAACTCACTGATCTACTCTACAGCCACAAAAAATTGATGGGAATGTTGATCTGGTGCAGTCATCAAAACTTTGTTATACACTAAGAATTTCTTTGTTCATTCTTCATCGCCTCCTATGAGTGGTCAAACATGGTCAGCTTCAATTACATTTTGAACATACATGGCGAGTCATAACCACTATAACAGTGAGCTCTTGTTTGATGAATGCTGATGCATGCACATACGCGAGGATCAACTTCAATGCATTCATAAAAAGAAATTGAGCGATATTTGTATTCAAGTTTTGCATATAATATCTACAAGTGGATTAGTGTTTTCTCTTTTCATTTTTCCGTTATTAGCAACTATGGGCTCGTTTGGTACAAGGGATTGGTACGAGGGATAAGAGATAGTTATCCCAGGATTGTAGTGTTATTTTTATCCCTATGGGAGGGTTGGGTAACAATCGCGGGATAACTAATCCCGAGATAACTTATTTCCCAACCAAACGTCCCCTAAAAGTTTGGGATTGCAACGTAGTAGTAGTCGTGTATTAGCAACTAAGAAGAGATAAGCTACTACAGGAAGCCTGCCCTCTGCAATACTTATTGAAATGAAAGTAGTAGTGTTGTTTTTCTGTGTTTATTAGTTTTGTTTGAAAAGAAAGCTCAGGGAAGAAACTTGATTACAACTGAGCAAGAAGGTTAACAATATCTTGGCGTGGCCTACATCTTGCTAGCAATGGTATAGCCTTAGGCATAGTGAGTCCAGGTCCTCCAGTCATGTCAACCAGCTCTTCACTTATTCTCTCCCATTCAAAGCACTGAACAAGTGATCCCAATGCCAAACTAGCTACATGCATTGCCAAATTCTCACCTGGACATCCTCTCCTGCCATATCCAAATGGCATTAGCCTGAACCCATCTCGTTGCCCTTTGATATCGATAAACCTCTCAGGCTTAAACTCATTTGGCCCTTCCCATGTCTTAGTATCATTCTGTATTGCCCACATATTCACCAGCAACATTGTCCCACGGGGGACACGAAAACCTCCAACGACACACTCATCCGAGGACTCATGTGGCACAAGAATCGGGACAACTGGGTACATTCGGAGAGTTTCGTTTATGATCCCATGGAGATAAGGGAGTTGAGCAAGGTCTGAGTCATCAAGTAATCTTGGTGACTGTCCTATGTGAGTGTCTATTTCGTTTTGAGCTTTCTTTAGTGCCTCAGGATTGTTCAGAAGAAGTGATAATGCCCACTCCATTGTGCTAGCTGTAGTATCTGTCCCTGCTGATAACATGACTTGTCCCATGCCCCTTATCACTTCATCTGTGTAATAATCAGGTTCTGAATCTTGGAGTGATAGAAGAACATCAATCATGGTGTTCTTCTTTTGCTCACAAGAAGATCCCTTTCTGTTGTTCTTGTGCTCTTCAATCAAATCTTGCATGAAGTTGTCCCTCTTCTCCTGCAATAGCTTCAGCTTATCTTCAAGTTTGTTTGCTCCTATCCAGTTAAGAAGTGGCACAAAATCTCCTATATTTGTTGCACCACTCAATTGGAAAGTTTCTGCAACAATCTCTTTAAAGCTCCTAGATTCCTCCACAGCAGAACCACCATAGTATCGTTTCCCAGCAATCATCATCATCAGAATGTTCAGTGTCATCTCAAAGAAAGCCGCTTTCATATCCACTGTGTAAGAAGCTCCGTCATTGGTTTTACCCCTAACGAGTCGTTGAAGCAGCGATCGAACCTCAACTCTATAGATGTCAGCGAACATTTGAATTCTCTGAGTGGACAAGATTTCATGAGTAGCAATCCGTCTTAGGTTGCGCCAATGTTGGCCATAGGAGGCCCAAACAAGGCTGGTATAATTGTAACCAAGATGTTTTCCAGCAAGCAACCTTGGACGGTTAGCAAAGACGACGTCGTTTTTGGTGAAACATTCCTCTGCAAGAGAAGGGGAAGAGACAAGGAGGACATGGCGCGATCCAAATCGGAGGAAAAGCAAAGGACCATGTTTTTCTGAGATCTTAGCCAATGTTTTAATCAGTGGTTTCTTGAAGAGATATAGATGGCCTATTATGGGTAAAGAAATAAATGGACTTGGTGGGAGATTATGGAATTTTCTAAGGAAATGGTTCTTTAGCAAGTAAAGGAAAGTGAAGATGAGGATGTAGTATGAAATTTCCATGATTGATGCAGACACAATCAAAGAAGACTTTGCAGTAACTATAAGTACCGTTTGGTTTTGCCAAAATAAATTTGGGTTTTATTTGTCAAACACATATTTGGCCATAGATTTTGCCTACATTTTGACAAAATCCCAAATCCCAAATCTCAAAACCAGCTCAATAGCTTGTTTTGGGCCAAAATATCATTATTATATTTTTAAAAAATTGCCCCAAACTTTTATATTTTATAAAAGAGCTCACCATTTATTATTTTATAACAATGTTGTTTCGTCTTCTTGGTCACCTAATAATGTATCATGTAGTTCATTATAAAAATGATAATTTTGTATCAAATTTATTTATGTTCAGGATTATGGTTTGCGACAATATAATGAATGTTATTGATAATGATATTGTTGGGTATTTGTGATAGTTTTTAGAACTTGTGGGTATAAGTCATGTTTCATGTTTTTCCAAAATAAATTTGGGAAATATGTTTTGAAAATTAATGTCCAAACATATTTTCATCTTCAAACCAAACTTCACCCAAATCAAATTTTTCACAACAAATTTGGAAATCTATGGCCGAACGCTAGCTAAATAACAAGAATACTCAACTTTGCTTATTGGATTCCCTATTTGATGGGTTTTTAGACTAACTTAGTTTCTGGTTCGAGGCTTAATTCTTGTCCAGGAATTGAATAAGGCCAAAGTTAGGCTGATAATTTATGGAGTGCAGTTCTGATGCAGGAAGCCTTTAGTTTATACTATGTGTAGTTAGCAGCATATTTGACATTTCATCTTTGGACGGCTAGGTGCCACTTATATGTAACAATTATGGTTGATGATAATTTGTTGTTGAGTTTAATTTTTGTGCGCAGATAATATGTATAACTTTTTTATACAATCAAGTCCATATAATAACTTTATAAATGACATGTTATAACAAGTTAGAATGCAGGGTAAAAGTAAATTAATGTATATAAGCTATGCTTGTCTGCAGTGGTCCCGGAACAATTGTAGTCCGTCAATTAAGATTCCTTTCTTGTCATAGGAATGAATGAAATTTTGGCCTTTACTCTTGTACTTCAACTTACTAGGTATGTTATGGGCGTCATGTCCTATGTCACAATGCCCCAGTTGCTTGTTTTCTAATTTCTGTTACAGTTTCTCATTACCAAAATTGACATGCTACTTGACATCTCAGAATCTTTTCATAACCAGACGTTATATTAAATAAATTAATTTGTAAAACGGACTGCCGGTACTGGAATTTCCAAATACATGACCTAACAAGAAATACTTTCCTGGGTACTGCAATTATTGTTTTTGACCCTATACTTCAATTGGTTTAATTAAATAATCTTACTAAAATCCTGATGACCAATTGGAGAAGTGGTTTTCTTTATGTAACAATGTTGTACGGACAATTCCTCAATATCTTGTTCATTCTCAAAAGAATATATCTTTGTGCATCTTGGTTAACAGAGAGGCCCCTTATATTTACCTTGTATGTGCCCATACAGTGACAATACTAAAAAGCTCACCAATAAGTATTGCATCTTTAGAATTGTAAATCTCCCATGGGCTAATATGACTAAATATGACTTAGAAAGAATAATCCATCCCCTACCACAGCAGGGGTAAAAAAAACAGGCCAAACTTCTAACCCGTTCGCTTCCACAAACGACAACCTGTATTTCAAATAACTGGTCATCTCTCTAGGAATCATTAATTTTTCTATATGATTCTACAGTTTACTGTTTACAAACCTATGGAATTGCTAACAGTTCATAGGTACTGATTACACATGTCCACAACTTTATTAAAAATTTCCAGAAAATTGAAAAATCTCACAAAATGTTCCTGTTTAAGAAATGATCAACTTTCTAACTTTATGAATTGGCCTTCTGCACACCGGGCACACCTTACTTTCAACATCCATGATCCTGCAGGAAACTACTGATCTTATGAGAATCCTCAAAACTTCTTTTATCTGTGAGGAATTGGACTCTGTGAAAAGAATAATTTACCTCTGAGCACATTCTTGACAAGTTGCACAATGACCACAAGGAACAAAGAAGCAGTTTCTTGGATTGTCATAGCAAATAACACATATTTTCCCATCATACAAATCCTCTGAAGAGCTTGATCTTCCAGAATTTGCATCTTCTGCATATGTTCCATAAGTTGATCCTAAATCCTTATGTGGCAACATTGGATCGGTCTCGGTTATTATTCTTGTTACTGATGTTTCTTCTGCATAGCTTTCATCATCACAAGCTCCCAAAGATTTCAGTATAAAGCAAATTATTATTACAGCTACTCCTGCCACACATTATTAGGTAAGGCCAACATTTTAACAACTAGTCAAATTCTTGATCTTACTAACTTTTAATATAACATAATGGTAATTATCTTGAGACTTTAATTGCCTGAGAGATTACCTAAAATTCCAACATAAGTGACAAGACGGGCAATGTAAGATATTGCAACAGATACTCCAGACAGGTCATACTGCAGCGGACACATCGTTCATTAAGCTCTTAAATTTCACTAAACGATGTCTTACATTCTTGATGTTTTAAAGAAAAGTTTGGACTTACAGTATCAGGTGTTGCAAGAACAACGTATTGGGTGGAAGGGTATGACAGATCGAGGCGACAAGGTCCATTGTTTGTCGAACAAATACTCTTTGCTTTCTTTATGTTGTAAATTGTTGGTGAAATGTTCACATTCATGAGCAGTGTGACACCTTTGGAATTTTGATTTATGATGCCAATGTTGTACCTGTCATCTTCCTCAATTCTATATGCAGCTTCTATAACAAAAGAAAGCAAGAGGAATGTTTACTCTAGCCAAGTGTGTATAAGTTGCGCACTTCATTTTTTTATTTGTTACTCTCTTGGTTCCAACTTACATGCCACTTTCCATTTGGGAACGTCTATTTGACACCATTTTATTTCCATACAATTTTCAAGATCTAAAATTCATCAAACTATTCATACTTTAATTCTCATGTAACGTTGGCTCTCTTTTTCAACTGCTTCTTTAATATTCTCTTCCATTATCCTAAATACATTATATAAATGTAAATTAGCTTCTTAAGCTCCTTGCCAAGTCAAACACCATCGCAACAACCCAGTGAAATCCTACAAGTGGGGTCTGGGGAGGGTAGTGTATACGCAAACCTTACCCTTACTCCGGAGGAGTAGAGGTTGTTTCCGATAGACCCTCGGCACAATAAGATGAAACGAGATAGTGTAGTAGTAACAACAAAAGAATCCAGAAAGATAATACCAGTAACATAATAACCAGAAAATAGAGAAAAAAGTAATAACACTAAACAATAACACTGGCACGAAGTACTACAAACACCATCACATAATGTGAAAATGAGATAGTACATAGTTACAGAAAGCATATACTTGTGTAACTTTAAGCTGTTACCAACTTACCATATGTTGTTCCATTTGAAATATCAAATCTAGCAGAGTTTGTTGACAGCAATTTTTCATGCTTTCGCTCTCCTGTTGAAGACAAAAATGACATACTTATTATTGGCATATCCAATCTTCGACTTCATAACGTATACCAAACTCTTGGTACCTTTCATTAAAGACACTTCAAGTTGACTCAAAATACTGCTTTGAGCTTGCCATTTTATTCTGATTCTTGAACCTTTGTTCAGCCACAGAGAAAACCCCTGTATACAAATTACCTTATAAAATCAGTGACTTTTAAACATACCCTTTAAATGGATGATAACAAAGCACAAGATTAGTTCATGCAAACCTTCCGACTGTATGATCCAACAAGCACAGATTTCGACGAGCTCCATTTGGCTTCTACACTTAATTCAGGCTTCTCTGAGAACCCATAAAGGGAAATTCCTGTCTTGTCATCATCTCTTACTTCAACTTGCTTCACGAACAGAGAACTCACCCTAAGTAATCGCGATGAGTCAGGTCCAAGAACCATGTCACAATCGCCATAAAGCCCATATCTTATGCTAAGCAACACTGAAATAGAAAAAAACAAAATGAGTGTGCATTAGAAAGGAATTTACTGAAGAGACAAAAGCATAAAAAATTGGATATTATATGCCACAAATACATATAGAAAGAAGGGCGAGCAAACGAGTCAATTTCTCTTGCCACATCCAACAATGATAGCAATAACGATAATGCTAATGATGCATTAGAAGAGGGTAATCCCCTCTGTGAAAAATGAAACTTGAAGCTGCAGAAGGTGGCATGGAAGATTATTGATTGATAAGGGAATCATCAAATGCTGATAACTCCAAATTATAGGAGGAAAAAGAGAATGGCTAGCTAATTAATATGGCTGATTCACCTTTCCTTTTTTGCGCAACTAACTGTTCTATGTAAGAAAGGTAGGTATTACGAATGTTAGGTATTAGTAGTTCTATCAGAATTCTAGTTGAGAACTGTACTTTACATTCAACATTATAAAGGACCATTACTTCTTTTTTCTTTACTAATAGTCATTTTCAGAATATAAACAAACACGAGTCCCCGTTATCACTTTTCTATTTCAAAGGAATTTGAATGAATTCAAGTTTGCCAAATATAAGCTAATGAAAAAAGTAAAGGTTTACAATTTAGAGGATAGACAAGATTTTGGCACAAATTGCTTTTTGCTCCATTCTATGAGCTTAACAAAGAAAAAAAAAACGACTTTTGACGCATAAACTAAATATATATGACTTAACAAAGGCACCATCTAGAATCTTTTGATTTTAGATATGTGAGGTTATTTCTATAAAGCATATCTTTTTTTTTGGTAACTATCTTTTGTATTAATCACCTTTGAATCTTTACAAAGCCATAGCTAACTAAAACAAAAACACAGCTAGCTATCTAAATGATACTAACATTAATTCTGGCCTATACAAACCATTGTCTAAACTGGACTTAGAAAATAAAACTTTGCATAAGGTCTTAACTCTCATTGATACTCTCACATGACAAATATATGCAATTTCTTTCGCGATTGTCTCCCAGTTTTGATACTTATTTTCAAAGATCCTTTGGTTCCTCTCCATCCATATAGCATAAACGCATTCAACATATACCATTTTGAATATTTGAGCCTTCTGTGATTTACCTCTGGCACTTTGGATAGCCCAAGCTAGGTGATGTTCCCAGGTTTGTGTAACCTTCTCCTTTCTTTGCAGCCACTGCTGTAATCTGTTCCATAAGGACTTAGAGAATTCACATTCAGCAAACAGGTGCTCCCTTGTTTGCACATGCTTTGGCATAGTATACATTTCAGATCAACTGTTAGACCCATGCCACTAGTTTATCAGTTGTTGATAATCTTCCTTGTAGTTCCAGCCACATGGTAAATTTAGCGTAATTAGGCCTAGCATCATTTCTAAACATGAGACACTTCCAAGGCACCTGCATAGAGATAGGAAGTAATTGCTTGTACACTGTGCTGATCATGCTTCTGTAAGTTCTAACATGTTGTAGCAGTCCCAGGTTCTCCTTGGCTTCCAAAAGCTTCCTAATGATCCAACATGCCTATGAGGGGATTGTAATGTCCCTCAGTTATTGACCTTTAATATCATAAGTGTGAATCCATCTGATCCATATTTTATCCTGTTTATGTTCAGTGTCCAACATGTTTTGATTTGGGCAGCTTTGTTCCACAATTTGATGTTGATGAGGTTCAGGCCTCCCATCGACTTAGGAGTGCAAACCTTATCCTGGGCTAATAAAGCTTTTTTCGTGATTGTGTTGCTTCCGGACCAAACAAAGCTCCTACATTAAGCATATATAGTTTTTAGCACCTTAGCAGGTATTAAAAACAATTGAGCCTAGTAAGTCTGAATTCCAAAGAGCACTGATTTGACCAGCTGTGTTCTGCCAGCATAGGATATGTTTTTAGCAGTCCATGATGTTATTCTGGCTGTGATCTTCTCTATAAGGGGTTGCCATTAGTGCGAGCTTCTTTGTGGATAAAGGGACCCCAAGGTACTTGAAAGGGAGAGTACCTTGTACAAACCCCAGGTGGATTAGTATGCTGCCCTTATCTTCCTAATTGACTCCACCAAAGTAAACACAACTTTTGCCAATATTAGCATGCAGACTTGATGCTCCAGAGAATTGACTGAAGCACTTGTGTAGAGCAGTAATAGAGGATAAGTTTCCTTTGACAAAAAGGAGCAGGTCATCTGCAAAGCTAAGGTGTGTGATTCCTAGCTTTGCACATCTTGGGTGGAACTGAAAAGTTTTATTATCTTTCAGCTCATTGAGCTTCCTGCTTAAGTACTCCATAGCTATTGCAAACATGAATGGAGATATTAGGTCCCCTTGTCGAAGACCTCTTGTAGCATTGAAGGGTTCACTAGGTTCTCCATTTATCAACACAGTATAATTAAACGTTTGAACACACTCCATGACTCATGCCACAAATTTATCAGGAAAATCTAACTCCACAAGGGCCTGCCTCAAGAATGGCCATTCAACAGAATCATAGGCTTTTTGTAGGTCAATTTTAATCATGCACATGGGGGATACATTTTTCCTAGTGTAGGACTTAATGAGCTCATGAGCAATGATGATGTTGTCAGCTATTTTTCTGCCAGGAATAAAACCTGCCTGGGCTTCATAAATGATGTCTGTTATCACAGCTTGCAATCTAAAAGCTATTATCTTAGCTATCATTTTGTATAAGACATTGCAATATGCAATGGGTCTAAACTCCTTCACTGAAGTTGGATTAGCAATCTTTGGAATCAGAGTAATGACAGTACAATTTATTGCCTTGTACAACTTTCCAGTTTTGAAGAACTCTTTGATGGCTTCCACTACCTCTGCCTTCACTATGTGCCATACTTTCTTGAAGAATTAGGCATTATACCCATCCACTCCTGGTGATTTATCATTCCCTATCGAGGATAAATCTTCAAATATCTCATGTTCAGTTACCTCTGCACATAGACTGAGTTTTTGTTGATGTGAGATAATTGACCCTCTCCTTATCGTGTCCCTGTTGACTGCAGGTAATGTTTGAGCAGCGCTGAGCCCATCAGTTCTTTGTAAAAGCTCACTATTTCCTCCTCTATGCCCTCAGGTTCAGACAGCTTCTTGTTAGTGAGAGATGTGAGCTCTAGTATCTGTTTCTTTTGAGCAACTAACTGTTCTATGTAAGAAAGGTGGGTATTATGAATGTTAGGTAGTGGTAGTTCTACCAGAATTCTAGTTGAGAACTGTACTTTACATTCAATATTAAAAAGGACCATGATGTAAACTAAGAGTCCACCAAACTGTATAGAGAACCATCAGTTCTCACATAACATACACAACAGTAAGTAAATAATACAACAGTATTTTACGTAAAAAACTCCCAGCTCACGGGATTAAAAACCACGACCTACGCTCATAGGATTTCAACTTCACTAACCGAAAAACTTTAGATTACAACCTATTGTAACCTAGGGATTAAACTCTTAATCCCTCTCCTACTTGCAATAACTCTATTGCAAACCTCTTTGTAATAACTGTATTACAAAGCTCACCACTTTGACTAACTCTAGTCAAACACAAACACAAGGTTTATGGTTTACAAAAATATCCTACGAGATGCTTCTAGCTAAGCTGAGTAGGAATTACAAATGGATAACATTAACAAAGATACAACAATACTAAGGATACACGATAAACTCAGTGCTGGAATCTGGTCCTTTGTTCTGTTACTACTTTGATCTTCAAGCCTTGGAGAGAATGAAGACGGCTGCACACTTGAGAGGAAATTAATGTTTTAGGGTTTGCAAGTCTGTGTAATCCGTTGCCTCATATTGGTAATATATAAGTGAGGTCAGTGGGATGATGTAAGCAAGTATCTGGTACATAACATGCTTCAAAAAGCGACTGTTGTACTGTTGCGTGTGTAGTGCAACAGTGCAACAACTTTAACAGCTGTAAAGAATTGACTTATACCGTGTCCGTAGGAACTGATAGCCATCAGTTCCCTCCGTTGTTCCTTTGACTGATATCATTGTAACTTGTACCAAACCTGTGACTTGTTGTTCCGAGCACTTTGAGGCTTTGTATCAAGTTCCCTATCTGGTTCGCATATAAAGTTTGTTAAATCATCAAAACACAAAGGCATGTACCTTATTAATTTCTCCCTTTTTAATGATGACAAACTTAGAATTGAAGCTCCCCCTGAAAATCAGATCTCCATATGATTCCCCCTGCAGATTAGTTATATTCCCCCTGAGGACCTGTTTCTCCCCTTCAATTTTTCTTTCCCCTTTTGGCATCATAAAAAGAATTTATGCAAGTAAATGCAAAAAGAAGTCCAGCGAAGTTAACTCATACCACTTGTGTGCACACAATATAACTAAGAACAGAGCACAAGACTATAACATGCATAGCAAAAGACTGAGATGCTCATTGATTAATTAGAGAAGAAAAACATAGGCAGTAATACCATTATTACAAAACATCCACACAATAAACAAACTGAAAGTACCCTAGTCATAAAAACAACAAGCCAAAACAGGACACTGGGACTAAAACAAGTACGAATAAACTGGACACTGATAAGTGGACCGTTTAAGGGGAATTGGAAGAGGGAATGAAGGGGCAAGGGCTTTGAGAAGAGCATCCACTCGAGCATTTGCAGACCAATGCTCATTTATCAACTACTCTTTCAGGTTCTGAACATGTTTCCTCAGGTCTGTATTTTCAGCCGTCAAGCGAGCAACCTCTACACCCTCTGTCCTTCAAGAATGTAATTCCTAGCTTTCAGCCTCCTTATTTCCTTGTTAGTAGCAGTCTGAACGTCAATCAACTAAGAAATCATAGAATTGCTGCCAACTCCCCCTTCTTGTTGATACACTCGCACTCCTCCAAGGTAGTCATTGAGAATGTTTTCTTTCAAGTTCCCACAGATTCTCTTCCCAAAGGAACTTTGAAATATTCAAACACTCTAGTGAGTAGGAACCCATAAGGCAAACCATGGTTCCTATCCTTGAAGTCTGCCACCTTTTCTATATATTCAATCATGATTCCAGGCAGGTTGATAGTAGTGTATCCATTCAATTCTTCTAGGAAGAACAAGTCCGCTATTGAAGTAATGGAACATCTTTCCACGCGAGGGAGCAGGACCTTGTTCACCATCTCAAACATGAGATGGTATTCCGGAAGCAGGGCCTTCTTGTGCACCCGTTCCCTCTCTGAACAACCTGAGGTTTTAGAATGACCTTCCTAAAATCGGAGGAACGGGTCCCTTCAATAGACGAGAGCCCCTCAGTGGGCACACCTAAGATACTCCCCGGTACAGCTTCATCCATCACAAAATCCAAATATTGACCTTCATGCAGATATTGTCATCTTTCACAGTGAACATATCCTCGTAGAAACTGCGAACTTCCTCTTCATAGACTTTGGGACTCTGAATGGTAAAGAGATGAGTCCACTTCTGAAACTCACAAATTTCAACCAGCTGTCTCATGCCTGACGTATCAAGAATGTTAGCATCAAACACTCTGCCCCACAACACTTTTTGCTTCTTCAGCTTTTCTCTTCTGTCAACTTCAGACACTTCCACCTTGGCAATCTTGGAGGAACCAGGTTCCTCATTATCACTTGTCTTTCTCTTCTAAAATTTCTTATTCTCAACACTTTTATCCTTCCTCTGAGACTTACTTTTCTCACCAGACTCATTCTGTTCAACACCCTTCTCTTTATCAATCTCAACACCTTTCACAGACGACCCTTTATTGGACTTCATAATCACAGACTTCTTAGAAGATTTACGAACAAGGGAAGCAGGTTCCTCATTCACCTCTTCGTCCTCAACATCCACAGTATTGGCCAGAGGCAGATCCTCCTCATTCAGTAGTTTTCCCCCTTTTACCAATCTTCTTCTTTTCTTTTTCTCCTTATTCCTTTTCAAAGCATTTTCAAGGGCTTCTTTTTTCTGCTGCCTAGTAGTGGGTATTTTAAGAATGGGCCCTTTGGAGACTGCCCTACCACTTCTAGCAGCTATAACCTATGTTACATGCATATCATCATAATCCTCCTCACTTTCATCATCTTCTTCTTCAAATAAAGGCTTCATCTCAGGAATCACAAAATCTAATGGAACTACATCTAGATGAGGGGAAGGGAGAGGGTCAGTACTGTCTAACGGCTTTTTAGTGGAGCATGGAGTTTCATCCCAAGTAGGAGCAGAGGGAGAAGGTCCCACTATTGGCTCCTCTATAGTACTAACTTGTACTAAGTCACTTGAAGGCACTTGTTCTCCACTTCCATCCCCATTCCCTTTTTCTCCCCCCCGAGTCTCAACACGCACATCATCAGGCACTTACTCCCCAACCAAACTCCCTTTAGTAGCAATAAGCAACATGTTCTCTATTGCTTTCTTTTCACTTACATCCAATAATGTAGAATCAGTAGAGGCGAGAGAGGCGTTATCTGACGTTGATACAATATTTAGATCAAAAGTTGGAGCAGAAGGAGTAGTAGACACACCAGATGCTTCACCAAGACCAGTAATAGGCTCTTGGGCTACAGTTGCCTCCTCAACCCGCTGACTCAAAACCTCCGTTCCCTCTTCTCCGTCTACCAGTCCATTTTCTGCCATTTCTTTATATAGTAGAGGGAGAGGTTGTCGCGACAGACATCTTGGGTGTTTGATTTTTTCGGCTACGGTGGAACCAGAACTCGATGAAGTCAGAGAAGAGACAGTGAGTGGTGGTTGGTCGGAGATGAGGGTTTCACTGGGTGAAGGTTGAGACTCAGATTCAGGCTGTTGTGCTTTGTGAGATGAAGACATAGTAGGAATGACAGTGGTGACTTTAGGAGACTCTGTTGAGAAGACATGGTAATTGTATAGAGCAAAGACACAAGAAAGAGGGTTTTTTGAGAGAAGAGGAAAGTTGGCTTTGATGTTGACAGTTGTGAGAGAGATATGTCTTTTGGAGTTATCTAGAAGGAAGGAAGGACCGATTACAATTGGATGCAACGGACTGGGTAGTCGGGTCGATTTGTAACGGGTGTGATGTTTGGGCTTAAAAGGTGTGGGAAAAAGGGCGGACACATTTTAATAACGTGACACTTTTAACAATTTAAAATGTGTACGAGTGTAAGAGGAACTACTAACCTAAGTCAAAGGAACCAGGTCCCCTGACTGATTTTTGCAAATATGAACCTTATCCTTCTACCAAATTGCAATGTCATTAGATGCTTGTTTTTCATGTAATTGCCATGCGTTTTTACCTGTAACGGTATAGAATTTAGTTAAAAGTTACCAGAAAACACTTTTTAGCAGTTGATCTTGCCATTCCTTCATAGCCAGTCACTGAGGAACCAGGTTCTCAGTTTAATTTGATTAGTCCCAACTCCAGTTGATTCTTTTCAAAATGCTATATGCTTAATGCTTTGGT